CCCAGCTCATTCTCAGCACATTAGTAGCATAAACAAACTCTACTTCACACCTTCTGAGTGGGAAGGCTGCCCACTCTGAAAGCTCACTGTGGGCTTTCAGTCCAAAACCAAAGGACATCAGTAAATTGACACAAAAGCATTACAGTCATATTCCTTAGACTTACACACCATGTGAAATAAAAGCTCTGCAGGTATGTATGTGTGCACCTATATTTAGCCATTTATAAGACTGAAGTAGGACACTACCAATTTAAACTCCACTAGAGTTTTTGGCCACACTCACTGCATCTGTTCTCATCTGCATAGGTGCAAAGCTTGGGTAATACCTGCCTGTCAGCAGGGTTTACCGTAGGCAATAGCACTACCACAATTTTGATAGCTGACCCAACACAGAATCATGATACTACCCAGCATCATGAAACCACAAGGATCAATTATGATTTCAAGGGGCCTTGGGTCTAATCCAGGATCTCCCTCTCATTTCTAACCCTCCTCTTTCCAACTGCTCTGATTTTGCCAAGGGCCAGAACCATACTGCTCACATTCACACTACTTGCAGTTCACAGTAGTGGTAGAGCTAAAAATTCTCCTTTTTCTTACACTTCACTGGAAGTCAGGCTACCTAACTCAACCCTCTCCCTCACCCATTCCCAGACTTCTCAAGCACAGGAGCTCAGCCCTGTTCTTCCTCTTTTACTGGGCAGAACAGGCAGCTGAGGGAACATGGAAGCATGAGCTGCTTACAGCCCTCCCACTGCTCTATGCTGAAGTGCCATGCAAATACCACAGCTCGATTCTGCAGAGAACCAGGTTTCCTGTACTTGGTTGAACAGAAGTCTAGTTTCACAAATATTATATGAGTATCAACACCTAGTAAGCTTAAAATTCTGCACTTAGGGAATATATCTGGGAAAACATAATCCAGGAGTTTAGGACAGGCTGTGATCTGCCTGGCTGGGGAGCAGCTCAGGGATCTCGGCATCTTGGTGGACCATGAGCTCAATATGAATGAACAGTGTGCTGCTGGGGCAATAAAAAAATAAAGCCAACAGGATGCTGAGTTGCATCAGCAAGGACATCACCTGCAGAGATAAGTAATTATCCTAATCAGTGCTTGTCAGGCTACACCTGGAATACTGTGATCAGTTTTTGTCCCTGCTGTACAAAAGAGGTGTGGACAGTCTGGAGGGTGTGAAGGGAAGGGCTACAAAGATGATCCAAGGCCTGGGAAGCCTGCCATATGGCTGTCTGAGAGAACTGGGTTTGTTCAGACTTGAGAAGAGAAGGCTTAAGGGAGACTTTATAACTGTGTTCCAGTATTTAAAGAGTGGCTACAAAGATGGAGACACCCTTTTTGCAGAGTTATATGAACAGTATGAGGGCTAGTGGGTACAGGTTACTCCTATGGAAGTTCCAGTTGGACACAAGGGGAAAATTTTTCACAGTGAGAACAATCAGCCATTGGAATAATCTGCCCAGGGAAGTGGTAGATTCCCCAACAGTGGACAGTTTTAAGATTTGGCTGGACAGGGTGCTGGGACATCTTGTCTAGACCATGCTCTTGCCAAGAAAGGTTGGACCAGATGATCCTTGAGGACCCTTTCAATCTTCTATTTTATGAACATATGAAATCACAGTATTGGCAACATGATAATATATCACCCATGGCCCAGGATTTGTTTCAAATCTGTACCAATTTTCATAGGAGTCTTGACTGCTACACTATAATGACTCAAGTAACAGCTCATACCCATTACAACAGTGAACTCTAGGCTACACTTGAGCCATAATGCTTGGTTTTGATGATAAGAATATGAAAGTAAATGTCAGGAACACTTAGTAAAAATCCTGAAGATCTGGTCGTAATATTGACTGTATTGTCAGTAAAGGCACTGTCATAACTAAGTGTTGGCAATACTTTATTTCTCCTGAATATCTACTGGATAGGCCACTGGGTGGGAGGGAAGATGCATAGAAATAGCACAAACATGAACACTGCTAGACCTTTGAACAAACCACTTTAGGGGGGCAATGCATCCATGTAACTCTGAATACAGTGGCAGAAGAAAATAGTTATTTAAAGGCTGCATCAGCAATTCCTATTCCAGTGTTCACACCTGCACAACTTTGACTGTAACTATTCTTAAAACCAAACACCTTTATTTTAAACCAAATAAAACCAACATTCAGGACAACAAAACTACCATCTTCTCTTAAGAAGCAGGCATCAACTCACCCCAGGAAAAACATTACAGTGCACCTTCCATTTTACAAAAAACAGCAGACCATTGGAGCACGATTATTTTCTTCATTAGATTTTGGTATTACTAAATGTGAAACTCTTGCTCACTGAATGGTGTCATGCACTACATAAACTACAAAAGTAGGTTATAACTGTAAACCTAAAACTATAAAACTATTTTAGTTTTATAAACTAAAATAGTATACTATACTATTACTAAATGATCTATTGTACCCTTGAACTGCTGGCAAGACAATAGTTTGATTCTACTTACTCATCAGCTAATGACTAGCTATGACTTACCAAAACAAAAATCCTAGGTCTGTGTATCTCCTGAGTTATGTAGGTGTCTTCTGAATACAGGAACTTCTGAATACAACTTGTTACTACAATAAGCCACTCTGAAAGCCCAGGTGTAGTCCAAGCAAGTATTCACACCCCTGGTGCCAACCCCATTGACTGCTGGAATGGCAGCTTTGGATAAAAGATCCTCTTCTGTGTTTGTTACAGTGGTTGTCTTACAAGAAGTATTTCTATGCAGTTAACATAATACAACTAAGGTTTAGCTCTAATTTGATGTTGTAGAAGTGTATTGCTTGCACATGCCATATAACAATTATAAAAATCTATAAAAATATATTAACAATTTCACAGCCTCCTCTATAAAAATCAACTATTTGCATATTAACCAGGCATAAGCACTCTCTAGCTGCTGAGAACAGCTCTAAGGAATGAACAGAATGCCCAAGCCCTAGGTGGAGTGAAACTATGGAACATATAGATTAGATTTCTTTCAGATTTATTTTATATGTCCTACAGCTGTCATCTCTCTGCTTTTTAATAGATCTTAAATTTCCACATCTTTTCCCCACAGAACCATCTGATGTTTAACTGAGGACAAAGAAGTCAGCAGTAGGTAGCTTCCTAGGTTCAGCACTAGGTTTTACAACAGTATTCCCCTCCAAAACCTACAGTATTTCTGCTGTCCATGTTGCAAATAAATTATACTCTCTTTCTCCTGAATTCTAAAAAGCTACCTTTAAATGGAGGTCCAAGGTGTTCCATAGGTTTTGCACATTCAGATCAGAGAAGGGGAAAATCCCACTTTTGGCTAGTGAGTCTATTGTGGATATGCACAGATGGAGTGAAACTGTTTTGTGGTATAACTGATAAGAAAAGTTAATCACTAGATAGAAATTGGTTGGAAAATAGATTTAAATGGCAGAGCAATATAACTCGCCTTATTTGGTTGCCACCGGCAATGCAACAAAAGTAGCACTCCTGAGATGCAGAGATGTTTATAGCAGGGAGAACAACGCAGAGACAGACATGCTGAGGTCTCTTTATCTGATAACTTTGTGGTAATTGCCTTTCATGCCCTGTGGCATGTGGGATGCACTAATTTGGCATTCAGTGAGTACAGCAAAGAAGAGTAATGCAAACAAAAAAGAGTCAAACTCTACCCTACTGCTTTACCTTACAAAATTACCAAGGCACAGCAGTATTGGCATCATCACAAAGTCTAAGGCAGGCACTTTTATGAGCCAACATCAGCCTCTTCCTAGAATCCAGTCTCATTTTCATCAATGTATGTGCCTGATTTCATCAGCTCTTTCTAAGCAGCTCTGCTGTGAGGTCTAGTTCTGTTTTCTGGCTGAAATTTTGCCCTTGGTTTGAACCCCAACTAAGTGGTAATAGGAATGTCTTCCTCTTTTCCAGCTGTCCACTGACGTCTCCTATACTGAAGGTAGAGAGTTTTGAAAAACTGTTCTACCAGAATCAACAGGAATTTTGCCTCTGATTTTAATGGGTTTTGAACTTGTCTCTGTTGCCCTTTCCTCTCTCTCCACCAACTACTGCATAGAAGCAAAGTCATCAGTAATGCTGAGCATAGCTCAGTTCCCAGGCACCTTCTTCTGTCAAACAGGTTTTTTTAATATTCTAATTTACATTTGGGGGTTTCCTCCTGTACTTTTCATACTGACAGTGTCTCACCTCTTAAAAACCACATACAGCTGTGAGTATATGTGTTTCCTCTTTCTCATAATAGCTGACCCCAGAGACAGCAAGCCTTTATTGCTAACTGCAAGGAAGAATGCACAACACTAGGCTCTACCTGACACAGCTGCAGCTCCTCCACATCTGCTTTACAGTCACTCATTCAGCATCCAGACTCATCACTTCACATAGTTTAATTGTGGAAGAGTAGCAAGGACAAGAAGAATGGAAGAATAATAGACAAAGGTACACATACAGTCAGACAGAAATACACAAATGAGGCATATGGTCCCTATTTTTTATTATTTGTTGTTCATAATCTGGTCATAGCCCTCATCACCAGCCCCATCAAGAAAAATCTTATATTATACTTACTGTTTCACACACACAGTGGTCCCTTCCACAAAGATTAGGCAGCAGATACCAGTGAGAGTTTGTATTAGTAATTCACTGAGGAAAAGTTAGTAATACATTGATTCTTTACATCCGTGTTAATTTTCTAATAGAAGCCAGGATTCAGCCCTACAGAAGGTAAATTCAGCTCCCCTTGCACTCAGTACAAGTTGTTCACATTTTTGTAAGGGATGAGTTGTATGCAGAGGGTTTGGTGGTTATGGTTACAGCAAATCAAGTAAGATGCAACAGATGCAATGAGAGATGGTTGGAGAGCAGCAAAGATAAAGTCCAAGGTCTAAATGCCAGGTTTGCATGTATGCCAGCTGCTCTGCAGCTTGGGAGAGGCAGGCAAACAAATACTTACCAGGTTTGATTTCCAGCAGCTTCAGCCTGGAATCCTCAGGGGGATGCAAACGCCTCTTTTTGCGCCAGCAACGTGCTGGGTATGTGTACAGCTGACCTGGGGCCAGGCCTGAAGATTAAAGGCAAAAAATTAATCACATTTCAGTTTGTAAACCACAAGCACTGTCTCTAGCATCTTTGTTCTTGCCCTTCCAGCATCTTCTTGTTTGAGAGTTCAATCCTGCAAATCATGAGGCAGAGCTACACACTCAAGGCATCCAGTGCTCCTGAGGCTCTTCAGCACCTCTTGGGATCAAGCCTACAGAGAATCTAGGTCTCACTTAGATACTTCACTCAGCTCAGTGAAACCAGAGCTGCACATAAATAATTTGTGATTTCTTCAGGGTAAATAGAATTTCAGACTCTCCTGGGTCACAAGGGCGATGCCTCCTCCACAGGCAGAGAAAGCCCCTTGAGAGAGAAGAGATGAAGTTCTGACATGCAAATCTTGAGGCCCTGATGCACAGAGCAGGTCAGGAAATTTGTGTCTTCCAAACGGGAGCAAACCAAGACCCAAGAGGTCTGACTCTGTATTTTTGTTTACATTCTGGACTTTTGTTTGAATACTAATTCTTCATTTTGACTCTTACTTCCTCATGCCAATATTCTGAATGAGGGAGGAAATACACCAATAATGTTTATATCATTGCCTGTTCCCTTAAATCACATTTGGCATCACTGGGTTTTGAGCTGCCCTGGCTCTCCTGACAGACACCCTTCAGCCAATGTTTGAGCTGTACTTTTCTCTCCTGCATTCAGGACACAGCAGGGCTTTGTGAACGCATCGCTACTTAGGGCACAGAAGCACACTGACAAGTGCTTCAAAGTGTCCTCAACTGCCCCAGATAGTCATGACACACAGAAATACCCAGCAAGAAAAGTTGGAGGAATTTAATTCTCTCTTCTGCTTTTTCTGCCCTCTCTGTCCACCAGTTCTGGTTTGGCTCCTCTGCCCTTCTGCTGTTCCTGTTGTCTTGAAGGGGCTACAAAGCATGACTTCAATTCCAGACTCATTGTCCTCAAAAAGCAGGTAAGACTACATAAGAGAGAGGAGTGGTGTTGCTATATCTGAAACTGTACTGACAGTGAACAGCTGGACAGCATCAAGGGGGTGCCAGTAAAGCAGAACAGCTCAAGGGCAGGAGGATGGCCAAAGAGTTCTCTCCTCTCTTCTGAAGCAGCCAGGAGAGAATATCAGCTGGGGAACAAAAGCAACTCACCAGACCAAATGAGGATAATTTAAAAAAAAACAATATCCTCTTACTTGGGGGTGGGGAAGAAGACACAATAACATAATTCACCTTGAAGGAACATGCTCATCAAATTCTGCAGGTGAGACCTAATTTCCTAGTTTTAAATATTTCAACTGTTGGGAATGTCAGTTCAGACCCCAGCATCTTCCACCGACTTCCAAGGCCTTGGAGCATCTATGGCATACTGCCTGAGTATGGCCAAGTGATGAGTATCTGCAGAGATTCTGGCTGTTTCAGGGCAGAGAATGCTATTTGACTTGGACTTTTCATGCCCTTCTTTCACTGATGCTCAGAAAGCTGGGCATTGTGCACATGCCAAGAAGGACACATTTCAGAACAGGTTGCCTAAGACCGGTTTGGAAATAAAAATGGGAATAACTAGCACTTATACAGTATTTGGGCACCCTTCTTCACGCCACTTTGCAAACATTAACCACTGCAAACAATTGCTATAATGATGAGGTGGATTGTGTCTGGCTCTGATGTGAGTAATTAAAAAGGTGGAGGCAAGAAGCCCCACCCTTTCTCAGCAGGTTCTGTGCAAGGACTTGAAGACAACACTGAAATGGCAATTGCCAGATCAAAGCAATAGGACAGAGAATCAGCTCTCCATTGCACAGGCCTCCACAGAGGAGCCATTTGAAGGTATAATTACCAAAGTTTTTGTGCCAGACAGAGAGGAGCAAAGATCTACTAGTCTGTGGGAATATCTGCTAATGTGAGCACTCCTATACAAAAGAGCAGTTCTGGATTCAGCCAGGACAGCAAAAGCCAACTACACATGCTGAAAGCCCAACTAGAAACTTAAAAGGAGAATTGGGAGAGCCTCTTTCTTAGAGAGTGGCAGGTAGATCATTAAAAACAGATGATCCAACATCCACCTCTGCAACCCTTCAGGTAAACTCTCTGTTGCTACTTGTAGTACACCTGTTCATTAATATACTGCCATCCAATGAACTTAAAATACGTACTAGATTTTTACTTCATTCAACCCACCAATGCTACCTTCACTTCTCTACCCTGTTCCTCATCTGTCCATGTGCTGGCTCACATAAAGTGTAGATCTTACACAAAGGAGAGGCAACAAGGAAAGGGTCAGCTCTGAATGCTCTGAATGTAGCTCCTTCACAGGCAATCCTGCAGTGAATATGGAAATAATGCATATTACCATCTTCAGCCCTCTGTGGGTTGTCTCTCTCTCTGGTACCTTATAGGGCAACCAGAGAAGGTTCCAACCATTTGCTTACAGAGGAAATGGCAGAACCTGCAGTGAGTTATGTTGTTTATCTCATTAGTGTAGGAGAGTCATAACTCAGAGCTCGTGTGAAAGGCCAGGGGAGGGAGTTATGTGCAGTATTGTGTGAAATTAACCCTGAACTGTTTATCATGAAATGCAGAGTTCTGACTCCTTTAACAAAGAGAACAGCAAGAACTCAGGTTAATATGCTGAGTTCCTGACTCTTCTCTGTTTTTCAAGTCTGTGTAAGTGAAAAGCTGTCCTGGAGCTTTGCCATTTGTCTTTATCTAGTTTTTCAGGTTAGGGATAGTAAATGGTAGTGAGCACAGCACACAAGACAGATACTGGGAAGGTTGGCAGAGAATTTTCAGAGCCCTTTAGTATGGGCACGAGCACATTGTGTACAGACCAAAACTAGGCATGCTAAAATTGTAGAGGGATGCCTTAACTCACCATAATACTACAAGAAATAGATGACACAAAGACACTCAGGGAAGCACTAAATGGGCTAATAAAATCAAGAAAGAGCAAAGCAAATATGGAGGAGGAGGGCTGGTTCATTTCACACTGATTATTCTAATTCAAAACAACAAAGTCATCAGATTTGATGGCCAACGCAGATGCAGGAGGCTCCTTTCACTTGATACTTTCTGTGAAGAATGTTCCACCATTAGTCTCCAGTGCAGACCTGCAGGAGAAATGCCGCCTATCCCCTTCTGCAGGGCCAGCTGCCAAACAGTTCACTATTAGAAATGAGGAGGGAAAGATTTGGGGAATGAATTTGCTCAAAGTAGTCCACAAAGCTTGTGACTGAGAAAGGCAAAGAATTAAGACATCTTGTTTCCTGTTGTGATTCTGTAACAGTTATGATGATTCCTTTTGCACATGTACAGATGCCAATGAGACCCACACAAGACTATCTATGTCTGTCTTTGTGGAAGATGCTGTTGAGAAAACACTGCTTATGAACACAATGGATGTATATGGATGTATACCTGTGTGTGTGTGTATATATATATATATATCTTCTGACTGTGTTCAGAAGGATAAAAATAGCAGCACCTTACTCATAACAAGGGGAAGGGAAGGGAAGGGAAGGGAAGGGAAGGGAAGGGAAGGGAAGGGAAGGGAAGGGAAGGGAAGGGAAGTTTATGCAAAGCATAATCGCTTAGGATTAGAGAATTTTCAGCTGAAACAAAAAACTTGTGGTTATGAAGCAACCCTATCAAAGACGGGTTATCCAGAAGTTTAGAAAACTCCCATCTTGTGAACTGCATTCAACAGTCCTGAATTACCCCAGCAGTTTTTGTAGCTAAAATATTCTTTGGATATTTTTAAAAGACCTGTTGTCTCCTGCACCAGAAGTGGCTGCATTTTATTATATGAACAGTTTTCTGGTAGTACTGCAAGACAACACTAAATCTACTTTAGATATTTTAGTAATAGGAGGAGCACAAGGATCCTTCCTTTAGTATATCCTAGAAAGGGAGAAGGAAAGTTTCAGCTAAGACTCAGCTAGGCACTTTTCAGAAGCAGCAATTGTTTTCTTAGCCCCAGGAGCGTAAAGGAATATCCTATGTGTTCCTCCCACTTCATCTCCTGTAAACCAGACAGTGGAGGATATTAGAGCAGGCTTCACCTTCACATAATTTCAGATCTAGAATTTGAGGGGGTGGAGGGTGAAGGTGGGAGAGTGTAAATATTGTTTAGAGAACTGGCACATATTTATGCACATGTGTGCATGTCATACTTCCAGTGCCCATGTACCCCAGGTCCCTTCCTGCCTGGATTCTCTGGACTGCACGGAGGTGATGGGGGGAAGAAAAGCTAGAAATACATTTTGGTGCTGTTAAAAATCAGTTCCCTGAGCTAATTATTGGTCAGATACTGAGCTACAACATAGCCAAATTCCCCTTGGTGTTCAGAAGGACTTCTGTCTAAGCAACATCTCCAGTCTTTGGTGACTGGTGACTGTCTTTTGCCTTTCAAAAACGGATTTCTGATGGATTTAGTCTAACAAAGGAACAACTGACCAAAGTCTACAAAAATAACAGTGCTCTTTTCCCTTGAGCTTCACTGAGCTATGGAACAGGCATTAGCCAAAGCTCCTTAAGGAAATGTACCAACTTCTTTCTGTACCCTAGGGAACCACAGCTCCAGAACTTATATCCCAGTTAACCTATCCAAAGCAGAACCAGGATTTATAGGTATATTTCTAACCATTAGAACAACATTCATTCAATTAATGGACTCTCCTATATTTTACTGCAGTTTTATATCCTTCCTAATATAGTTCCCTATTTTCAGCATTCATCTGAGAAACTCCCACCTCCGTCTTTGAGGTAATTCCAGTCTTAGAGCAGAGCATTGAATCTTCCACTGTAGACTGGGATTGATAGCATGAAAAGAGCTACAATGATGCAGCCTTAGAAACTACCATGTCAGGCACCTCTTTGCATAGAGAGAGAGTAATTAGCATGAGCTCTCTGCAGTTACCAAAGGAAATCCCCTGCAGGCACCGAGGTTTAGGCAGTTTCTCTTCTGTGTGGCCTGTAGCAGGTTTGAGCTCCTATTAATTAAACCCCATGAGGGCTCAGTGGCCAGCCCTCCATACATGCACGTGCATCCACAGACACAGCACTACCAACCTGGTCCCCTGTGCCTCTTCTCCATCCAGATGTAGCAGTTGTTCTGAGCTACCCCAGTCTGCGAATCCAGGAAGGGAAGGCGGACGCTGCGCTCGGCACAGAGCCGAGAGTTGTAGCTGCGACAGTGCTCAATTGCTTCTTTGTAGAACTGGTCCCCGAGGCTGCCAAGAGAGACAGGGCACAGTGAGAATGATTGTGCTGTGCCCTCCAACAAGAGTAGGAAAAGGGGACGTGAGGGTGGTTTGAAAATGGACAAACAGAAAAACTTTGCCTGGACAGATGCAAATGTTGGTGACACGAGACACTGATGAAGCAGATCATGCAGAAAGTGATGGCAAATTCATCAAAAGATCAGGCTGTCAGGAACCAGACACAGATCTTTTCAGTAGCAGCGTGGCTACTGAATGAGCAAATGATGCAATCACACTGCCCCATGACCCTGGGTCAGGCCCATGTACACCACAGTGAACTCATTTGATTGTTTCTCTTCCCCTGTAGTTTGTCCAGCCAATTCAGCAAACCAGTCATTTCAATCCCATGTTACAGCAACTGCTGCAGTATGTTTTAGGCAACCAGAAAGCCAGCCAAGTTTAGAAGAACTTCGCTCCAGCATTTCTGGTGCCAAAGAGCCCATAAGAGCAAAGACCATAGTTCTCTTATTGTGTGCTTCTGAGGCATGAAAACACACCCCTTAATAACTAGAGCCATATCTGCAGTGGTCAGACTAGATGTTTTGTCATAAGCCTTCCAGAGTTTTCCACAGTGAAGCCTGAGGTGCCAGGAGCAGCAGGCTACAGCAGCAACCAGTCAGATCCAGCATGGCAAATGCTGTTTTTCTCTGGAGCCCAGTGGGAATAACAGTTCTAAAGACAATGTCACTTACTTCATAAATAACTGTTTGTTCAAAAATTCTGTAGAATCTTCATCTTCCCTTGAGACAGGTTTAAAAACTCTGCCTGCTGGAGATTACCAAAATCCTCCCTCCAAATTTTTCTAAACAGGGAAAAGCATCAAAGTAAAGCTACCCTGAGGACACAAAGCAGCTGTCACGCTGGAGCATTGCAAAGTAGGTGGGCCACTGCTGAACCTCATTCTTGATCTATTGTCAAGGTGAAATTCACTCGTGACACGAATAGCTAGGAAAGCTACCTGTTAGGGGTAAGTTCATTAGAAAACAGGAGCAGAGTGATAGATGGCATAACTTGCTCTCTGATATTCATTAGTGTGCAAAAAGAGTATAGCACATGCAGCAAGTGAGCCAAAGGGATGCATGCACAGAGATAAAAGGAGTTCCCTTTTCTGTTGTTTTCCCCACTATCATCTTCCATAGGCACAACTGGCATTTTAAAATTTTGCACACCTCTAAATGTCAAATCAGTGCAAATTGCTCTGTTTTGCCATCTTTTGTATCTTTTTTGTAACTCACATCTTTTAAGTGACTCCTCAGTTGTACCTTATGATTTACATGGAAGTCAAACTCTTCTCATCTTGGACCAACATCCTATCGCTGACAGAGACCAAAAGCAGAGGCTTAGGGAATAGCAAAAACACAACAAATACCAAGGGAGGCACCTCAAGTTCCCCCTTCTCAATTCTGATGATCAGAACTCAATTTACTCAAGTCTCAGGTTATCCAATGATGTGGAGGTCAGAACTTCCTTCGCCTACAGAAACTCCCTAAGGGTTTTTCAGATGTTTCGTGCAGCAGTGAACATCTTTGTGAACATTGTGCCTCTCAGACCTGTCCTCCCCTGCTGACCACCAGCTCCTGGGCAGCTGCCAGTGCAGGGATATGTGGAGGGCAGCTGAAGGAGAGAGCTCTCTGGGCTGTGCAAGCAAGTGGAGGGTGCAGCATGGGCAGAGCGCATACAGCAGGATCCCTCCGGACACTGAATCCCCTGCAATGACCTCAAACGCCCTTTTCCATAAAAAGGCGGGGGGAAGGGAAGGGGAGCAGGGGAGAAAGGAAAGATAAGCTGCTCTACTATACAAAGAATGTGACTAGGAAGAAATGAAATCTTATTAAAAGCTGTAATTAAAGTTGTACACTTGTGTAATCAAAGTCAGTAACAAGGAGACCCCAGTTGATCAAAGATTAACAGCTCTTTCCACAAACACTTGAGCTTCCTCAGAGCTATGTCAGATTCCTTCTATATTAAACCAGGGATGCTCTCTAACTCTAAGGAGTTTACTGGGAAGAAAAGCATAGCTGTGTGACAAAAAACTGCCACCACTGCACAAGTCTTCCTTATGCCAAAAATCACTTCAGTCAGTAGAATATGCACACCACAAAGCATCAATATTAACAAAAACAATACATCTCAGCAACTCAGATATAGGATCTGACTGGAGATTACTTCAGTTTCTACCTTGCTCTAAGATTGAAAATAACTATAAGTCTTCAAGTATAAAATATTTGGCTTTAAATCACAGTATCGAATAGAGCAAATTTCAGATTTTTCTAAGAGGAAGAAAAGGGCATTTGAGATCCTAATGGCAGAGAAGCAACCAAGCTAATGGGTCAAATTCACTCTTGACAAAATCTTGCAGTCTAGCTGTTTCATTACATTTATTTTAAAGATTTTAAATATGTATTTTTTGCCTTAAAGAAAAATTACAATTTAGAAGTATTCAGTCATCTCCATATTTTAAGAATGCTTGCCTTGTCTCCACTACCACAAGCATGATCAAAAAGTGCAGTTTTCTAAGAATTCACTGGAAATATTCAGATACTGAGACCATGAGGAATTACCCTGGCCTTAATTATAAATAGATTTTTTTTAAAGTGACAAATAATCAAATATAGGAAAGTAAAGAAATGGTATTTCCTTATGACACTCATATGTCAGTGGTAAACAGCTCCCCTGAAATTACTTTTGGGTGCCTAGTTATGTTTTACCATTAGTCTTTATTGGAAGTATTCTGACTCATTCCAAACTACAGTTAGGTTTTTTTTAAGGAACTTCAAACTTAGAGATTTTTTTTTCTTCTTTTGTGCTACATATCTAAACACAGCATGTTTTATCTTAGCAGGAAAAAACAGAAAGTGTATTAAAATTGGGGCAAAAAAGGAGAAGTACGGTGCTATTGTGTTCCTCATTGCAGAGTCAGGGAGGTGGGACAAATCCCAGTCCCCTCCCAGGAGGTTTACAATGGAGCTGGAGAACAGACAAGGGTGGGAATAAGACTGGAAAGCACATGAGCTCCAATGAAACTTAAACAGATCCGTTGAGTTTGAGCAAGTGAGATACAAGAAGAGAAAAAAAATTATAAAATGTATAATATGTCAGAAAAAAGATTAATTATCTGTTACATGCTTCATAGTTTTCCCAAACTGTGTTGCTATGGAAGACTTCCACTTCAACTCCTGAAAAAGTATCTGTAAAAACTATGGGGAATTTCCTCATTATTTTTATGAAAAGTATGTATGAGTCAGTGCTGTGCTGTGACTGACCGCAAGGGTCAATTCTTCCCTTTGGACAGGGGAGTTAAAGGTCACACAGACTTGTCTAGATTGATATTAATGACACAGAATCATCAGCATATGTGCAGATTTTAAGGATGCTGGGAAAAAGCAAGAAGCAGACGTGAACAACTGCTGGACAAGAAAGGCAAATCTTACTGAAGGCAGCACAACTGGAAATACAGAATGCAGTTGTCAGCACACTGTGAAAATCACACAGCCCTTCAGTACAGAGCCCCAGGTGAAACCGCAGATGTTTGGGACAGGCGTGCCAGTGACACTGCTGGCATACACACAGGCTTTGCACTTACATACCAAGAACACTAAAATAACCCAGTTCTGGCTGACTGATAAAAGCTCCTGCACTTGGAAAAGATCAATCTATACCATTGCACACTCCTGCAAAGCTGCATAGGAGGCGTAAATGTTTAGTGAGGTTAGGGGCTCTTTATTGGTCAAAAAAAAGTGGGACTGAAACTAAACAGCAGGCTGGGAGCACTGGAAGCTCGGTGTGAGTGGGGAGGTGAGCACTCTGAAAGCACCAGCAGCCCTGTGGGTGCTGGGACTGCCACTGAGCCTGGTGCAATTCTGTGCAGCCTTGCAGGTAGTCACTGCCATGACAGCAAGCACCAGCATGGAAGATCAGACTCTATGACTTCCTTGAGGTCACTTTTCTTTTAAGTGTTAAGAAACTGAGGTTTTCTATCATGGAATCAGGTCAGCTAATAACAAAGCCAGGGAAGAACAATTCCTCCCTTTCCTCAGTCTTTGCCTGCTAGCTCTAGCTAGACCATAAGGTTTCTGAGCAGACTCCAACTTACCACTTCTCTCTATAGTACCTAGCACCATGACTCTGCTGTCTAGGCATGCTTTCAATAAGGGGAAAAAAAAAAAAAAAAAAAAAAAAGAAACCCAACAACTTACCTATCTTATAAGCCCATAAATTTGCAACAAGGACCAGAAGCCTGACTTCACTCCAGATGTTCAAGATGTTTCTGTGCTGACAAGGGATCCTGATGGGCCCTGAAAGCAGCACAGCAGCTCTCCACCACCACTTTGCAGTCCATCCTGCAAAGTCCCATATTTTTGTGTGCACTTACACCTTTTAAAACAGCTACAAAACAGGCAGAATCCAGAGTGCCCCTCCTGCAGTGCCTAACACAATTCAAGTTAGTACCCAGAGAAGGTGAGCACTCGCTGAACACCTATAACCAGTCATGCTCAACAATAATTACAGGTCCACATTACCCTGGGAAAAATTGTATAACTAAGAACCAGTCCTCCTCAAGTGCAGTTCTTAAATTTCCAACAGACACCTCTGAGTACGAATCCAAATTGTCTCCAGTTCTTGAGGCCAGGCCTCATTCTAGTCATTTCCCTCTAAAACCATGCTCACTACATGACTAGGCAAATAAAAACCTGATAGCACAGGAAGAAATGACTAGTCATGTAACAGAAAGCAACAGACTTTTTCTTCTACAGTTTGCAGTGGTCCTCAGCCACAATAAAAATGTGGGCCCTGCTTTCCTTAAGACCATGGACTTTTTGTTTACTATACATTTAGTCTCTAGTCTTACATTTTAGAGCATTTGACACTGTGAGGTACAGCGAGGACAACCAAAAAAGACCTTTTAAATCAGAACTTGTTTTGGAGCAGCACTGCCATCCAGTTTCAAACTGGGTGAGATCTGAGAAGTG